GCGACGTCGCGCAACGTTAACGTCGTCGTTTCCGGGATAAATTCCGTGAGATGCGACGAATCGAAATTCACCGTCGCCAAAGACGCAACAATCGCTGGAAAGTTTGAATGTCGATGTCTCATGTACGTCGCGATGTTACCTTTATCCGTCGACGATTTCCTGCGCTTACGTATCGATAACAGGAAACGTTATCGCATTCCCATCGAACACGGAATGGCATAAAAAGTATTCTCGCGATTCTCCGAAGGAGAAGGATCCTTCATCGATTTATGCGTATCGCGTAAAAGAAAGATTATTACGTTGTAAGAAAAAGAATTTGAAAATGTAATATTTATATTAAAATGTAAATTTTCGATACTCGAGGAGAGATAATCTCTTTATAAAGGGGGAAAAACATGTCGCCCGATTTTCGATGAAAAATTAGGAATTCGCGACATTCGCGCACAAAGCATTCCCAAGAGTTAATATCGTCGACGACGACATCGATTACATTATGAGTATCGGGAATCGATAACGAAGCGCACCGTTCGGCGTAGATCGCGATACGTCGTCGCCGCGATAGCGATTCGAGTCCTTAACGGTGACGTCGGGTTGTAGTATACGCGTAGTTTCACCGCGTAATTGATAGACATATAACAACGCAAATTGAACGCACGGAAGACGCGCTAATGTAATGCGAATACGTATCCGTTGCATCGGGACACGTTTCGTAACACGCGGAATGTCATTACGTCCCAGTTATTTTCTTCTCCAAACTTCCGTTTTATATTCTTTGATATTTCTTTACGCTTAAAAATTGCCATGAAATTGATCTATCGAATATTATTTATCGAGGTGCAAAATTTTAAATTTAAATCTACCGAGGATATGTTTGAAAGAATAATTTTGCACGAGTATTTTTTCTCTCCTCATCGGAAAGCAGCATTCGGACGAGGCTTAGCCAATCAACTGTACCATTAACTGCCCGAGAGCCATAAAGGATATGAAAGCGTGGTTACGTTCGTTTCGTCCTTGATGTGAAGCGGACATAACGCCGCGTAGCACCGAGAAGAATGCGGTACTCTCAAACACAAGTCCACAGATAAAGAGAAAATATCCACAACATTGTTAAAGAAAAAATCCAGATGTCAGTTTAAACTGACAATTCTTTAAAATGCTTCACGATATCTACAGCATTATTTCGAAAAACAATTTATATAATAATTATATAATATTAATATTATTAATGATGATGAATATTATAAAACAGAAATTTATGATTGTAAATATTCTAATACGATTCGCGCGTGCTTTTCTCAGTCTATTTGTGTCATCGAGGACAAAGCGGCGCACGAGTGAGACCATCGCTGCGATAAAACGCTAGGAATCGACGAGCCCTCGGGTCACTCGACCACTCCCGGATTAGAAATGTCCGACTGTGTTTATGTTTTCGTAATGCTCGACGATCAGCTACTCGCTATTTCACGCAAGGTGAGAATAAGCTCCACGCCTTGTGTACCGAGTGGCGCGGGGTTAACTTGGGCAGCAAACACGATAATAATCGGATACCTTGACTCGCGGCCGCGCTTTCCCCGCGATCCTCGCGGATCGACACGCGTGCGCGGGCGTCGCGTGTTTCGCGATAAAATCATAAATCACGCGCTCCAACAGGTCTCGTTATCCGAGAGTCTCCTTCTCGATAATGGACGTTTTACCGCCAGTTGATTCTCGAAACAATGAGAGGGAAAGTTAATCCCTCCACCGGGAATTTTTGGAAAACTACTACTACTTTCAAAGATGTCGTTCGAGGAAAACGGACAAAGGAGTAACGGAAATTTTACAGGTCATTGTTAAACCCCAAATGACTCTAAGAGTCATCCTTCTTATGGCGCCGCTCTTAATACATTGTACGGTGCTGGGAAAATGCAACTTTAACAGGGCCATAAATTATCTTCGTTATTCTTGGCAGCACTCGACAGATACCGGGGCAACGACTACTCTCGCAATCAATACTCGGCGCGACACACATATTTCAGAAAGATATTTCGCCCGATGACTTTTCCAAGATTTATAAGGCGCGAAAATATTTCCCGCGCGCCTCGCACCCAAGAATCTTAGGCTCGCGATTCGTACCCCCCGATCGACCTTATTATCGGCGACTTGTCGGGGACAAACGCCAGAGAGGAGAGCATGTGGATTTACGAAAGATCGCGCGGCTCGCAGGCCGTGGGCATAAACGCGATAACTCGAAAATCGATAGCGGGCTGTGCAATCCACTTAATGGCATCCTCCCATTCCTCTTTCCCCTAAGCAGCCCCATTGGACGTGATAAATCGCGAAGGCTGCCGGACTATTTAGATACGCCGCGTATTGCGTGCGTGCGAAGTTGAAGAACGCCTGGCTGCCCGATAGCGATATTATATGATATATCCTCCTTTTTTATATTTATCGAGTCGGCGAAAGAAAAAGCGACACGGTTGCCTCGCAACTTGTTTGCATTGAAATTGATTAAATCAAGAGTAGGAGAGAGATTTGACTTTTATATTATAAAAATGTTTATTCACGAGCGCGAGCTTGTAATTTTAATAATTTTCAAATCCCGTCATTTTTCAAGTACATTGATTTCCAACGTACGTTGATGGAGATGGAAACGACGCAAAGCTAGGAGTAAGAGAGCTTTTCATCCGTAAAGAAGTTTAAATCGACGATGATGATATTAAACGGCGAATAAAAACCGTTTCGTTTCGGAAACGCTCCCCTGCATTTTTTTTTAAATCGTCTAGAAATTATCTCGACAATCGGTAAAGAGTGAAATATTTCGCACGTCAGACATACGAATAACTAACCCATATTCGCGCGCGAGTCAAATATTTACAAAATCTAGCAAAAAGAACGAACGTCGCGTCGAGTTTGCAGAGCGTTTTCGGATTTATCGTAAATCGACACACTTCAACAACGCGCGAGAGAATAGCTTTTCCGCGTATATACACCGTACGGTGTAAAATAAATACCTGCGCGGATTGGAGTTTCTCGCGACTGTCAAAGAACCGATCTGCTGCGCCCTTATTCGAGTTTCCGCGCAAAAACCGCCGTAGGGTTTAAATATCGTGACGATATCTTGTCCGGTGTTTCGCGCTCGGCAGGTCAAAGGTGACGCGAAGCGAAGCTGCCTGAGGTTTTCCCTCTCTTTGTCACGAGCCACGAATCCCTCTCTCTCTCTCTCTCGGCGAGTTAAATTCCACCGAAATCACTCGTCGCCGTCGAGCTAACTCGGTCTCGTCTGTATTGCGAAATTAAAACAAGTTAGTTTGCAGGAATCGATTTTCTCTTTATAGGAAAGACGGACGGCGCAAAGGGCGGGTTAGGTAACGTTTCAACAACATCTTGTGCTCCGACAGCGCAAAGTTTTTAACGAACGCCCGCGCTTTTCGAGCTCGCGCAAAATTGAAAAGAACATTACGAGCCATTATCTATTGTTGCCGGTCCGGTATTTACTCAAATTCCCAGTATTCTAACGCTCCGCTTTTTTAATCCATTCGAATGATTATTTCTAATCCCTCTATAAAAGCGTAATTTCGATGAAAACTACACTAAAAGTGTTCGCACATACAAAGTGTCGTAAAAGTTTCGCTCGAAAGTCCCGCGTCATAAAATACCACTCGAGGCGCTCTCAAATTATCTTCAAAGTAACTTATGTAACCCCCTCGAACACTTCATAAATCATAATTTTAACTGCCGTTGAAACGAATAAACATTTTTACACGCGTTTCGATCGCGAGCGATGGAATTTTCGACGGGGCGCGACCATCTTTTCGTCGTTCTGTCGCGTATCGATATTCGTATAGCGATACATTTGCAGCTTTGTCGGGCGCGACAACATCGCTCTGTCTCTCTCGCCGAAAACTTTGGCAGACGTTATTTCCGGGATTACGTTGTTCATCGACAGACACGCGCGGCCGTCCTTGTCGGATTGCGGATGGCGGTCCAAAACCGCCGTCGAGAGAGCGATACATGTCGATCCGTACGAGTCCGGGACTCGTATTCGCGTAATAACGTACATACGTTAGCGACGAGATCGCGATGCAGACGTTTGCAGTTGCGACGAAAATTCCGCGCGAATAATGCGAATTAAGCTTCTTCTCGCCATGTTAACTCGTGACATCGAGTTACGCTTATTATCAAAGGAATGAGTCAGGGCAAAACATGTTGCGACATCAGCGCGTTGGGCGGAGTGATTTCGGAAAAAGACACGATTCCTTACGCGATCGAAGAAAAGAATCGGATCGCCATTTCAACCGTGACATAAGACGTCACGGGGCGGATCTTTGCGAGAGTCCACGAGAGCGTCGAAATTATTCCGTTTCGATTCCCGGGAGAGATTCTCGAGCGAGGCCCGTGATATCCGCGCGATATCTCGTCGATGGAAAAACCGCGCGCGCGGGCGTCCTCGAAGGAGACCGCGGCGCGGAATCTCCCTCTTCCGCTCCCCCCCAATCTCGCGCGCCCCCCGGGCTGTCACTCGCGATCAGGTGGTTCGCTTCGGCTCGGCTGTCGCGATTCGAGCAACGTCAAGCGCGGCTCGCTCTAGCGATTAGATACGGCGAGGCACGAGTCTCTGAGGAAAATTGGTTTCGATATCGAAACAATTATCGTTATCGCGCAATCGAATCACGTCAAATTGCGCTCGCGCGATATATCGGACGATCGACTCGCGCCCACTCGATATAATGGGACGAGAGAGAAGAGAGCCGTAGGAAATGATTATCCCTCTTTATTCGTGAATGTAAAGTCGTGCGCGATACGCGAAAACTCTGTAATATCTCGCGGTTGATCATTAGCTAGGTTCCGCTCCGACGCGAAGGGGGAGTAACGGAGAGTTAAAGCGCCGAAGGGAGAAGGGGAGGGAAGGACGCTCGGTGGCGTACGTGCGGCCGGAGGTTGCTCAACTTGACATCGCGCGCGCTCTCTCTCTCTTTCTCTCTCTCCCCCTTGTTTTATGACATCATTGAAAATCACTTTACCTCAAGACACGAAAACCGAGTCGCCGCTCTCTCTCTCTCGTAGCCCTTGTTCGTCGCTCGCAGCACCAAGTCGCAGCGCGGTGAGAGTAAACGAACGTTGTCAGCGGTCTCCCCAAGATAGAGAGAGAGTTATCGAGCTCTCTACAGGGAGAGACGGGGGGAAACGGTAGAAAGACGGTCCTCGCGCACGTAGGCCCCCGCGCTTCCGCCACCGCCAGGCAGTGGCACGTTCGACGTTCTTTGTTCTTCTTTCCTGCGCGCTCCTCGCGGGATTCCTCTCTCGATCCGCCGTATGGCTATGGACCACGCTTCTCCTCCGTTATCTCTTCTCGCGTCGACGGACTCGATTCGTATCTACTCGTACGGATAGCGCACGAGTTCACCAAAGAATTGCAATGTCCACTTCACGTAAGCAATGTATTTATATATACGCGTATGTATATATTTATATATTATCCCTCTCTATATATATGTGTCACTGGATATATATATATACGATGCACACCCCGTGTACCGACAACGTCAGACGCGCTACCGTTAATCAGCCGCGCTCCCACACGTGAACCGCGCGTACGTACAAAACACTCGCGCGCGCGCGCTTTTATACTTGAATTCACATATACAATACGTATGGATACATGTATATATATATATGTGTGTGTGTGTCCGTGTACGTCGGAAAAACTCGATGTACTCGCGCGCAGAGAGAGACTATATATCTCGTCTTGGATATATAGATGCGCACACGCGCTACCGAACACTACGACGACTCGTCGCTCACCCTCGGTTCCACCTGACGTCCGCGCGCAAACGAAGCCCGAGGACGACTGACGACGACCGAGCGTACCGAGCGTATGCGAGCCGACAGCCGACACCGGCCGAGCGTGTGGGCCACGACGCGGAGATACCCGACCGAGCGTCGTACCGCTACGACACGAGTTCCGAGTCGTTTTCCCCTCCGCCCCGGCCCCTCGGCCCCCGACTCCTCCGCCCGCCCGTTCCCCGACCCTCCGCCTCTCCCCGCTCCCCTCCTCGTCGCCGACTAGGAGCGCGCGTACGGGGCCATCTATACGCTTCGGTCTCTTTTCCTACTACCGTCGGTGAGCGCGTATGTACGGACTACGGACACACGTCTCCCCATCGCCTCCTCCTCCTCCTCCTCCGCCCCCTCCTCCTCCTCCTCCCAACGGCGCTTAAAGCCGCGTCCTTCGGTACGCGAGAGAGATACAACGCGATTTTTCCCCGAGCGACGAGTGAGCGATCCGAGAGGGAAAATGTAATTCTTATTTCGCACGCGCGCTTATAGATTTATTAATTCGTATCAAGAGTTTTACGCTCTCTTTGCGTCGAGACGCGAACGGAAGACGCAACGTCGAGTCGTTTCTCCGTCAGATTGATCGTGTTCCGTAGCGCGCGGGGACCGTGATCGACTGAAAGAGCCTCTCTATTTTAAAACGAAGCGAGACGCCACGCGTCATATCGACGCCTCGTTTGCGACATTAGCCAGACCTCCGAATGCGTGGATCTAAATGGACGTGCCACGCCGCACGATCGACATTTTTTCGCGAGATTGTCATGGTCGAAGGAGAAATTGACCCTGGCTCTGTCATTTCGCGGATGTCATTCCTCCTCATTTACTTGTCAGAAAACACAAAGGCATAAATAATTAGCACGAATAAATCTATAGTTGGGATATATTCCGTTCTACGTGTATTATTACATCGCTTCATTTTATCGTTGGATCTACACACGTTTCGCCGGTCAATGTCCATGGAATGGAATTTTTTCTACCTGCAAACGTCGACCCGCTCGGTATAAGAAAAAGTACATACGGTGAAAATCGTGATTATTGACATTTTCCTATAGACGGAACTTATTGTACCGAGTAAAACTCAATGCATACGCTTCTCTTTAGATTTCGCTCCCTCCGAGATTCGCAAAATTGAAAGTCTCTCGACAGAGTATTCATTCCAAACATTTTATCGTTGCGATAATTGCAAGTCTCAAGTGTGTACCTACAGATATCGTATACGACGTATCGCTTAGCGTGGGACGACGGTTTGCTTATCGGACCTGATCGAGAAGGATAGGGTGTAAAATTCAAAGGGCGCGCTCGAAGACCGTTTTATTGACTTTCGGAGAGAGTTCCAGAGATTAATAGAGAGAGACAGAGAGAGACAGAGAGAGAGAGAGAGAGAGAGGAGGAGGAAGGAGGTATCTAGCGTGGTCGACGCTCCAGCGATTCCGTGTTCCAGTATTCGATTGTTGCTCCGAAACGGAGCGTGCATTCAAAGTGTATTCCACGTGTTTCGGAGGGTCAAAGAGGTTCCGCGCGTATTTTCATGAAAATTACCTCTGCCGATGCCTCAATAGCTACCTTACATATTGCGCGGGCTTATCTTTGACACGGCACGTTCGCGAGCACCGCCTCCGCCGGCTGACTCTCGAAATTATTCGCTGATAAGCGTTACCACTTTCGCTCGACAGTTTGTTTCTTTGCGACGCAACGTTAGGTAAACTCATTGAATTTCTTACATAAAAGAAATTTGGAGAATAAACATATGTGCATCTTTGTGATAAATGAGAAAGTTATTGTAAATACAAGGCTTGATTTATTCTCAACATTGTTTTATTAAACGGACGATGATATTAATAACTTTGCTAAACATTTAGGAAAACGGATAATGTATCTTTAAACGCACGCCAAGCAGGCGTTTATTTTTTCAAGAGACTTCCTGTTTTGTACGGTGAAAAAAATCCGCTCCGTCGCCCGTACGCAAAAAATGTGCGTTTCGACGACTTTCTTTTATTTAATTGCGAGCAAAATTTATTTCCTCCGATTTTATTCAAATAAAATTTTGCGACATTAACAGGAATAACAGCGGGAAAATAATACGAGCAAACTAATGGCGATTATTTGCATCCCTAAATTAACAAGAGTGCGCTACATAATTATTGTATTAATAAATATGTTTTGTAATAAAAGAATTTTGTATACGTATAGAAAATAAAGTAAATAACACTCTTGACGATGTGTAAATCTGAAATGACCGGCCGGAAATGACGTTGTCGTCGGACAAAAGAGTATCGAGGGATGGATGCGGGTGGACAGACTGGGGACGGTATGAAAGAGTCGGGTTAAAACGTAGTGGGGCGGGGGCGGTTTGCCGTTCCGTTTAATGGGCAAGACGGCGAAATACGTTACGCGATACGCATTGCGTTTGCGTAAAGGACACCGCGTCGACGATGACACCCACGTGGCGGGCGTACGTGAAAACGTGGGTGTAAAAAATGGCGCGGGGGTGCACTTTGTTAACCAACACCGTTGAACTTTTCGGTGCGCAGGAAATGTCGTCGTTGTCGTCGTTGTCGTCGTTGTCGCATTATCGTCGTACCGCGCTGCTCTTTTGATTAAAGCTGAAAATGCGCTCGCGCAACGCAACGGGATACGTTGTAAATTACACGCCGCGCCATCACGTACGTGTTTGCGAGCGTGCTTAATGTCATCATGATCATGGAGCATTAGGTGGAGAAGCTGGACCGCTACGCTCTCGGAGATTTCGGATAAAAGAGGCTGCGAATGTCAAACGTCGGAAATTGTCGCGCGCGAGAAAATTATTTTTTTCCTAAACGCTATTATAAAACAAAATAAATAACTATACATTTATAATAACAATTGCTATAATTCATTCGGAAATATATATTTTCTATACACGTTTTGTCTTTATAAACGCGAGGTCACTCTCAGCAGGTGCAACGATTGCGCTTAGCTTTCCATTGACCTTGTTTCGCGTTGTAATAATTTGCGTTCTCATTAGTGTGCAATCGTGTGTACGTGTACTCGCATCTTGTATAAAATATTCCGTTTGATTGTGGACATGATATTTGTCGCGTGCGCGTCGCACGATTTCTCGCGCTTATCCGGTTCTCCTCCGAATAGTTATCGCGCCGAGTTATTGATCACCGTGTGAATTACAATTACCAGCATCCCGAATTAATTTCGGTACGCTTATTATTAAATAGCTAGCAGCGCGGTACAGTTTATTTGAAGTTTGATCGTACCGTAATATAAAGCGCGATTCGTTTTATATTGGATTATTTATTTCGCGCACTGTCCTCTACAGTTACAGCTATACTTTTCAATTAAGGTATTTCGAGAAATCGATTTTTCTATTTCGGAAAAATTTTACACGCTGTTACCATGTTGTTATTTTTTTAAATAATCAACATTAAATTGATTTCTTCGTGACCAATTTTTTAAACGAGGTTCATTTAAAATGTTTGCGAGCCTTGTGATTTTTCAAAGTGCATTAATAATTTGAAAATTAAACTAAATAACGCGTTTTTAGCTTTGAACGATAGCTTTTTACCATTTTCAATTTAATGGCGATAATATTCTGATTTATGTGCCATGGAAAGATTATGTACAAGATTATGTACAAGATTGCAACTTGTCGCGCTACTTTTATCGCGCATCTATCTACATCTAGAGTTGGTATTACAAGTAGTAAAAGAGAGAAAGAGAGAGAACGAGAGAGGAAACGAAATGCCGTTTAACGATCTAATTTCATTTGTCGAATTGTAAATCGTAGTTGCCATCAAGTGTACATGAGATGGTATTCTCGAACGGAGGGATTAAAACACCGCTACACACAGTCGATGGTATGAGGGATAACTGTGTGCGGATCACCTGGGTCACCGGATATAGCAGCGCGAAATAAAAGAAAGTCGGCCGATAACCCCTGCTCGATGTAAATTACACGAGAAGCGGCCAGACTCTCCTCTCGCTGTAATCCTGCCGTAATGGCAGTCTCCAAAAGAGACTTTATATAACTTAAAAATTTAATGACGCGAAATTTTTTACGCGCCTACGTTACGATTACAATTTATTTTTGATCTCAATCTCAAATTTATTTCTTCTTTAATTTTAAGTCGTTTAATAGTTTTAAATCGCCGACGAGAGATCTTTCAAAACATTTTATATACACAGTAGTATTCTCTATCGTGTGTCTCTTGTATTGGAGTATTTTTCAATCCACAACAGCAGTTACGAGGTTAATCGCGTCAAATGAATTCGTTGGAATAATTATCCGAATTTGTCCCTCGGTCTAATAAAATTTAATGAGAGATTCGACAAGACTCGAGAGAGCAAGTACGAGAGGGTTACAAGTACTTGGCGACAAGAAAAGAGAGAGAGAGATGTTCCGTGCTCGTATTTTTCCGTTTCCTCTTTTGGCTGATACGAGACTGCAGCGTATGTGCACGAGTCTCGAGAATACAGAAATTTTTTTATCTCCTCGATTTACTCCGCGAAATAAGGGACGGGGAGCAAGAGAATATATGCTGAAATACACTCGACCCAAGTCAAAAGTTAAGCGAAACATATTCGCGAAACCTATCTGGGAAACGAAGAGCAGGTTGGCCGATAGAGTACGTACTTTGTACAAATCTTACACACATATTTTACTTCGCATAGCCAGAAATAATTTACGAAAAGTTATTCCGGGAATAAAATGATGAAAAAAATTTTACACGTAAACGTTTTGCATTTCTCTCTGTCTGGCATTCTCTCCCTTTCGATTATATATACCCAGGGCATTTTCGACGATTCTTTCCAATATTCAGGATCAATATCGAATTATGATTCCACGTCGACGGTCTAACACGGTTCCCAACATCGCGTAATCGTACTTAAAACATCGGACATTGCGCATGCAGTCGGTTCTACGAGCGAATACCGCTACGTGCAAACGAGTACCGAGCGGGTTTCCATTTTGCGCTCTTGCACACCGCGCATCATTCCTCCTCTCTTCTCTCCCTTTCTAGACGAGCTCGTCCCACCTTTCAGCCTCGGCTAGTGGTCTCGGTGCCGCACGTTCGGCTCTCTTCCTTGTCCGTCCTTTGTAAAATACACGACTCCCCTCCTCTTCTCTTCTCGT